AAATATTCAACCGCATCAGAAAAGGGGAGAAGAGATGAACAGAAATTTCCTCAAAGAAATACAAATGGCCAAAAGGTACACGAAAGAGTGTTCTACATCACTAATCATCAGGGAGATGCAAATCAAAACAGCAATGAGGTATCATCTCACCCACAGAGACTGGCACACATCAAAAAGAACGAGAACATCCAGTGCTGGTGAGAACGTCAACTGGTCCAGCCTTTTTGGAAAACAAGATAGACATTCCTAAAAATTCTTGGAACTGAGCTTCCATTTGATCCAGCGACGCCACATCCTGGAATATATCCCAAGGGCCTAAAAACAAAACGGAGAAAAGACATCTGCACCCCTATGCTCCTTGCAGCACTCTCCACAACAGCCCAAATCTGGAAACAACCCAAGTGTCCAAGGATAGATGAATGGATAAAGAAAGTACGGCACATATCCGCAATGGAATTAGTACACAGCTGTAAGAAAAGATAAGGTCGTGAAATTTGCTGCTACATGGAGGGACCCGGAGAGTATCATGCCGAGAATAATCTCTCTAACTTGTGGAATGTAAGGAAACACAATGGGGGAATAAGGAATACCCGAAGACAAAGAAAACAAAGAACATCAGAACTGGTATTCAGTAGGAAACATGCCACCTTGAGGGGGCTTGGGGAGAGGACGGGGAGGCAGCAAGGACTACGGTGGAGGGAAGATCATCAGGGAGGACAGGGTGCTGAAAAAGTATTATGTGTTTTATTTATTTTTTTGCTTTTTGGGTCACACCCGGCGATGCACAGGGGTTACTCCTGGCTCTGCACTCAGGAATTACTCCTGGCGGTGCTCAGGGGACCATATGGGATGCTGGGAATCGAACCCGGGTCGGCTGCGTGCCAAGACAAATGCCCTACCCACTGTGCTATCACTCCAGCCCCAACATTACGTGTTTTAAAACCCTAACAGCAACAACACATATATACGCATATGTATGTGTATGTGTATATATATATGTTACAAGTGGCCAACATGGCCGACCCGAGTTCGATTCCTCCGCCTCTCTTGGAAAGCCCGGCAAGCTACCGAGAGTAACTCGCCCGCAGGGCAGAGCCTGGCAAACTCCCCGTGATGTATTCGATATGCCAAACACAGTAACAAGTCACACAATGGAGACATTACTGGGCCTGCTCGAGCAAATCGATGAACAACGGGAGGACCATGACCGTATATCATCACTGTCATCCCGTTGTTCATTGATTTACCCGAGCAGTGTCAGTAATGTCTCCATTCCACCCAGTCCTGAGATTTTAGCAGCCTGTGTGTGTGTGTGTGTGTGTGTGTGTGTGTGTGTGTATATATATGAAGTGTCCATCTTAGAGGCAGACTGGTGGGTGAGAGATAAATGGGGGTGGAGAATTGGTGGAGGGAAGTGGGCATTGGTGAAAGGATTGGTGTAGAAGCAATGTATGCCTGAAACCCATTATTAATTACTTTGTAATTTCACAGTGACAAAACAAAAACAAACAAACAGACAGAGAGGATTAAAAACTATGTCACAGTGGATTAAAAACTATGAGCTGGGTGGGAAGAGAGTTTGCTCAAAGGGTGAGTGGGTACATATGGGAGGCCTGCATGGACCCCAGCACCACATGGTTCCCTGAGCATGCCAGAACAGTCCCTGTAGCCCCTGAGAACGGCTGAGTATGGAACAAAGACAAAACCAAACAAGCACAGCATAACCTGGCAAGCATCGCAACTAAGAAAGCTTGCAAACCAGGGCCTGAAAGATGATACAGCAGGTAGCGTGCTTGCCTTTGCTCCTGGCAGACCCAGATTTGATCCCCAAGACCCCAAGCACCACCAGGAGTGACTGATCTCTGAGCACAGAGCCAGGAGTAAGCCCTAAGCACAGCTGAGGGTGGACACAAACAAACAAACAAACAAACAAACAGTATGTAAACTCCATGACCAAGTGTGAACAAGTCCACCAAATGTGTGCATCGCAGCAACAAAGGAAGGGGGAAAAAATAAAATAAAATGATGCAGTATTTGACGCAACCTACTCACATCCCCTGAACACTTTAAATCCTGATTACAGGTATTGTTAATTAGCTTATTTTGCACACACAGATACAACGTAAACATGAAAATTAATGCCCTGCACTGTTTACGGAATGAGGAAAAAAAGCCTGTACAGCTTCATTACAAATGCAACCATTGCAGGCTAATTGCATTCCCGGATGTGGACGGTATGGTGGCCAATACCATAATTTTTTTCCATGTCCAAAGACAGATGCCTGGATGGACCATAGCGTGAGAAATAAACTTAAACAAATGTAGAGAATTGGAATCAAACTAGAAATTACATAAGACAACAGGAAAAAATCTCCAATCACCTGAAAACTATTGCTGTATTAATACAATATAAATGCTATTTAAATAACTTTGCTCTGTATGGCTTAGTAAACACAAAGCTTACAGAGGCAAAATGACCCAGAAACAAACAGCCTAAAGTAGTTATGCATCCAAGAACATGGACTGTTTGCCTAGAACAGTGCTTCAGACATAGATGTTCCAAAACATCTATGTTTTGGATCTTTTATCTCTCCTAAATGATAGAACCACTGATTCAAGAGTGAAGAATTTGGGATCAGATATCCAATGATCTCAACTGAGTTCCTGGCTCTAGTATTTCTTTCTTTCTTCTTTTTTTTTTGGTAGGAGTAAAAGGCCCTCCCATTGATCATCGATTTGCTTGAGCGGGCCCAGTAACGTCTCCATTGGAGACTTTGTTGTTATTGTGTCTGGCATATCGAATACATCACGGGGAGCTTGCCAGGCCCTGCCCTGCGGGCGAGATACTCTCGGTAGCTTGCCGGGCTCTCCGGGAGGGGCGGAGGAATCGAACTCGGGTCGGCCGTGTTGGCTGCGTCAAGGCAAACGCCCTACCGCTGTGCTATTTGTAGGAGTACTGCTATTTATTCAGCCACTGGTTAGCTGATTGAATTTGGCATGAACTCCACTCTAGTATTTCTTATACCCTAGTGACCTTGAATAGGCTATCAGTCAACTTTTGTTCCTTCATCTATCAGATGGGGGTAATAATCCCATTCCATAGTATTGATGTAATGAGCTTAATAAAGTGGCTTGGTATAAGAGTATTTAGTATAGGGACAGTGAGTACAGTGGGTAGGGCACATGCTTTGCACGTAGCCAGGCATGGTCTGATCCCCTAAGCCCCATCAAGAGTAATTCCTGAGTACAGTTAGGAGTAAACCCTGAGCATCACAGGGTGTGAGCCACCCTCTACGACGGCCCCTCCACCCCCCCAAAAAAACACAGGTTTCATCTCTCAAACAGCATATAATCAATATAATCAATCCAGGATTATATGAGCACTACCAGGAGTGATTCCTGAGCACAGACCCAAACAGTAAACCCTGAGCACCACGAGGTTGTGGTCCACCCAATCCTCCCTTCCCCCAAAGGGTTAAGTATGAAAGTGTTAAGCATCACTTAGCAATAGAGTTAAATTCTGAACATGTCAGGCAATTTTGTTGCGGTTTAAACATCAATGAATACATTTACACAAATCTTGACGGCAAAGCTCCCTCCAGGGAGAGGGGACATGCAGAGACCACTGTCACATGCACAGCTTGTCTCCAAGTGAACTGTCATTATGTGGGGGCACAAGCATAAATGACAGTGCCACAAAAGAAAGGCTGAGATTTGGACCGAAGAATCCTAGGTTACAATTATCACTAGATAAGCACTGCAATATCGGGCTGTTCACTTTGTTTATATACTAATTCCCTCAAGCGGCAATGAATCAGCTGCTGCCGAAGAGATGATGTCAAGATGCAGTTCCTGCCTCCAGTCTGTGATCCCAGTCTCAATTTCCTCCTCTCACAAGCGGGAAATGTACGAATCCCCATCTCAGAGGTTTGTTATGGGATTAAATGCATTACTGGACAGGTTCAGGGGCCTGTCCACTGCTCCCTATGGTAGAGATGATTCTAGTCTGGGAGGTGGGGTGGGGGGAACAGCTAAGCAAAGAACAAGAGTGGTCTAAGCAAAACCCGGAATCCACTAGAATTATTTGTTGTAAGCCCAGCAGTGCTCAGGGCTTACTCCTGATCGCTCTGAAGGCCACAGATCAAACCTAGGGCAGCATGTACATGGCAAGTGCCCGACCGCTGTACTATCCGGCCCCCTTGTGTATTTCTTAACTGTCACCTGCCTGTTAAGGCAAAAAGTAGATTTTTCCTAATCCACTTTCGGGCCAGCAAGCCAACACTGAGGAAGTCGAACAACGATCAGAAAATTTTTACTTCCGTGTCTATAATTCCCTATTGCCCCCATGGGAATTAGGGAAAATTTTCTTTGATTTGATAACGCGAACGCAAAGCCTTTTTTAAAAATACAGGACAAAGGCTTAGGGTTCCAACTACTGTTTCTTTCTGGTTTGGGGGCCACACCCGGCGGTGCTCAGGGTGTGAGCTCTTGGCTCTGAGCTCAGGGATCATTCCGGGCGGGCTCCGGGGGGCCATCGGTGGTGCCGGGGATGGAACTCGGGTCCGCCTCGTGCAAGGCAGGCGCCCCACCTCCTGCAGCAACGCTCCGGGCCCTCGACTAGCGTTTCTCAAAGCGGGTCCATCCGTGGGTGCGCCAGGAAGGTGGCCCCTCCCCGCCTCCTCCCCGGCCCCAAACTGGGACAAAGTCAGCTGGAAGCCAGGAGGGCACTGGGCAGCAGAAACTCTCGGGAGGACGCAACTCGGGGAGGGGGGCTTCAACTTTGGACAGAGGCAAGGCGGAGATGGGCACGTGGGTGGGTGCCCGCCGGGGGGTCGGCCGCAGGACTGGGCTTCCACGGAGGTCAAGTGCGGCCCCGAGCCCGCGGGGTGCGGGGGGACGTGCCGCCCCCACGGCTCGGCCTCCGTGAACGCCCCCGCATCCCCCGGGCAGGGGGCTCCACGAGGCTGCGCTCCCTCGGGCTCCCGCCACTCTTCCCTTACCTCGTCTTCCAGTCTTTCCCTCACTCTCCCGCCTCTTCCAGCCCGCCGGAAGTGACGCACTCCCCGGCGCGCCGCGCAGCGCCAGAAAGGTTCCGCGGCGGCGGGAGAAAGGGCGCGCGGCGCGCACTGCGCAGGCGCGCGGGCGCGAGCGGTCAAAGCGGCTTCCGGAGGCCGCCGCGCCGCGCCGCGCTCCCTTCGCGGCCCGTCGCGCCCGACGCGTCCCTCCGAGCCGCGCTCCGGGCGGCCGGCCCCTGCCGACGGCGGCTCCCCCCGCGCCCCCGCCGCGCCGGCGCCGAGCGACGCGGGCCCGTGCCCTTTGACCTCGCTCGGCGGCGGGGTGAGAGGTCGGTGGCCATCTTGTGGCGGCGGCGGCGGCGGCGGCGGCGCGGCGGCGCGGCGGGCGGGCGGCTGTTACTGCGGAGACCCGTCGGCGCTCGGACCGGCCGCCCGGGGCCCTGCGGCGCCCGCCCGCGCCGCCACCATGTCCTCCTTCTCCGAGTCGGCGCTGGAGAAGAAGCTCTCGGAGCTGAGCAACTCGCAGCAGAGCGTGCAGACGCTGTCCCTGTGGCTCATCCACCACCGCAAGCACGCGGGGCCCATCGTCTCCGTGTGGCACCGCGAGCTCCGCAAAGGTACCTGGGCCTGGGCCGCGGCCGCGGACCCCTTCCCCCCCTCCCCCACCCGCCCCGCACCCCGCACCCCGCGCCGGCGGCCCCAGCCTGGCCTCGCAGGCCCGCCCTCCTGTTTCCTTGCTGGGGTTTGGAGTCTGGGCGCCCGCCCCTCCTTGCTCGTGGAGGGAAACTGAGGCGCGGGAAGGCTCAAGGCCCCGCTGGACTCAGGTTGCAGCGGCCCGAGGCCCGGCTGGACCCAGGTTGCAGCGGCCCGAGGCCCCGCTGGAGCCAGGTTGCAGCGGCCCGAGGCCCGGCTGGAGCCAGGTTGCAGCGGCCCGAGGCCCGGCTGGAGCCAGGTTGCAGCGGCCCGAGGCTCGGCTGGACCCAGGTTGCAGCGGCCCGAGGCCCCGCTGGACCCAGGTTGCAGCGGCCCGAGGCCCGGCTGGACCCAGGTTGCAGCGTCCTGCACGCAGGGCCGCTCGCCTGCCCCCTGTTCTCCCAGCCGGTGCCCCCTGAGACCCTGAGTGCCCCTTTCGGGTTATCTGGGGAGCCCCCGGCGCCCTGGGTGGCGGAGGGAGCTGGGCCCTGCGTGTCCCCGTACGTGTCGGGGGGAGCCTGGGCCTGCCGCATCCAAGCCCGCGCGGTGGTGCCTGGCGGATTCCGCTTCCCGCTCTGCCTGATGCCTGCTGGGTGCAACCCGGACGGAGGTAGCGCTTCACAGATCGGCTCTCACCCGGAGCGCTCAGATCAGCAGCGATAAGTGGTTAACCTTCCAGCCCCGAGAAGTGGAAACGGTTAATTGCTCTGACCTCCAGGCTCTTCCCATGCAACTCACCTGGCCTGTAGACCCGCTGCTCCCTACTCCGGGGGGGGGGGGGGGGCATCTGCCAGGCCTGGGGGTGAGCGTTTAGAGAACTTCAGAGGCTAGCTGCTGAGACTTGCAGGCCGCTTTTGCCATTTATTGATGCCAGCGGTTTAATGCTGCTGTCTCTCGGTTTCCTTATCTAGAAGACAGATGATGGTCCCTGCCCTTTACTATGCACGGAGGAGGAACGTGGCAGGCGTTCTACTAATACCTTTGGTGATCCTGGCATTTTCATTTAACTCTCAGACCTGTGTAGTAGGGACTTTGCAGGGAAGAAAATAGGGGACTCAAAGATCCCCTCTCAGGGAAGAGTAAAGAGGATTAAGCCCGAGGAACAGCTCCACTGGTGTCTGCTCAGTGCTGACATTCAGTGATAGATAAACCACAGGTGGAACTGTCAGGGACAGTGTGAGGGAGTGCCTGCAAGTAGTGCACAGTCTGATGGCAGACACCTGAGTCCCAGGAGCAGCAGGAGGCAGGGCCGTGGCCCTTGGGACTGTTGGGGACAGCCTGCATGGCTCAGAGGGGAGGACCGGAAGTGACTCTGCGCTCTCTCCCCTGTGTGATGGCACTGTCCCGTTGGTTTAGAGATGAGGTATGGGAAGTGGCAGCGGTATCTCAGTTCTCAGAACTGATGTGGCACAGACTACAGTCTGGCAGACACCAGAGCCCTGTACTCTAGCTTCTTAAACTCTGGGTCATGACTGTATAGTCAAGGAACTGAGTTTCGGTGTTAAACAGAACATGCGCCAGCTGTGGAAGGTTTCCAAATGCATGCTCCAGCCAGTGTTGCCTTTCTGGGGAGGAAGAGGGTGGCCGGAGAAAGGTGAAGGAGGCACCCACTTCTAGCAGAGGCCCCCCCCCCCCCGCCCCGTGCTGCAGGTTAGTGCTCGGGGACCGCTGCTCTCTGCTGCACTCCTTCCAGTACAGCGTTAATTTTATTGTTTTATCCACTGGTTTGTGTCTTACGGGAGAAACTAGGCCTTCTTCGTTTGTTTAATGCCAATAGCATGGTGCCTGCATCACAGTTAAAAATCAGGAATTAAACTGTGGCACTATTTTCATGGCCCAAACAGCAAGGTCTGATGCAACTTTTTTCCTGGAGGGTGCGGGGGAATGGCCACATATGGCAACACTCAGGGTTTACTCCTGGCCCTGTGCTCAGGGCTCATTCTTGGCAGGGCTCAGAGAACCCTGTGTGATGCCGGGGATTGAACTTGGGTCGGCTATGCAAAGCGGGCACCCTCCCCACTGTACTATCCCTCTGGCCCCCGTATTGTGATGATTGAAATGTTTTATATTTGCAGCTTGCTCTTCAAGCTCGTGTTCTCCCTCGAATCTCACTTGCTTGTCTTAAGTTTCTTTACTTGCTTATTTCCACTTTGGAGAAGCCTGTGTTCGCTCTTGAAAACATATTTCCCCTCTTTCTCTCCTCTCACATCTTTCTAAGTAAGTTTCATTCAGTTAAAAGTTTTATATTTGCCCAACAGGGTAACCACTTGCAGTGAGCACTTGAAATGTGTGAGTACGGGACCAAAGTTTTTTAAAGTTTTAAATACGTGCAGTTTGAAAATTTAGTTCTCAAGGTGTGCTCACCACGATCAGTAAGTATTAGAACACTTATTGATCCATAGATACTGAGTAGCACCTGCTGCACGGGGCTCTGTACACCTGGAGGATGCACTTATAGGCACCAGGCACTTCCACACATCCTCTTTCATGATGGAAAACAGCCTCATGCTAGCTGGAAACAAAGTGTGCCCTAATGTTGACTAGCCCTCCAGTTCTGGAACCACCCAGAGTTTGAAAATGGGCATTACTAGATTACTTAATGCTCAAGTAATTTCTGTGTTCACAGACATCTAAATTGAATTGCTCTCAAAATAGTTACTTGTCTTGATGAAATGTTTTTCTGTGCCTTCCATTTTTGCAAAATAATTTATTTCTGAGTCCAGAGCAGGTGGAATGCCTCCTTTTTCTGGAAAAGTTGTGGTAGAAAATGTACTTGGGTGAACCTTTTTAGAAGTGTTCTTAAGCTTGGCCTGAATGCATATAGACAGGTCTCTTTTCAAAGTTACTTTTTAGTATGTCCAATACCAGTTAAACAGGTGAACAGTTTTTGTCAGCACCTTACTTGTTTTCCTCAATAATTGTTTCTGCCAGTTTAGAATGGGTCTGAGCAGAGGGCTCAGGAACCTGTTTTGTCATATTTGACATCTGAACAAATGAGCTGCCCTGGAGGGTGTGTGTGGTATCTGTTGTGACTACGGCCTCTTTGCACAGATGTCTGTGTTAACTATACAGGAGGCTGGCTGTGAGACCCCCTTTACTAATTTTGAAAATGATGAAAATCAGTCGTCACTGTAGATAGCGAAACCATGTCTTAGCTATCTTAACTATCACATTGTAATGCTGAAAAAAATCAGTTCTTGAATGTCCAAATTGACATCTTTCAGTTTGGATACTGGTTTGAAAACGTAAAGCATAGGAATTTATGAAAGTTCATGTAGATCTGTTTTGTTGAAGTTTGTGTTACTCTTGCCTATGCATGCTTGGTCACATGGGCTTTTTCATTTTCCTTTCTGCAGCATATCTGAACAAGTTTTTTTTTTTTTGCTTTTTGGGTCACACCAGTGAAGCACAGGGGTTACTTCCTGGCTTTGAACTCAGGAATTACTCCTGGTGGTGCTCAGGGGATCATATGGGATGCTGGGAATCGAACCCGGGTCGGCCGCATGCAAGGCAAATGCCCTACCCGCTGTACTATCACTCCAGCCCCTCTGAACAAGGTTTTTTTCCTCTATTTTTTTGGGTGTTGCCAGGGATGGAGCCAAGAGCCTCACTCATGCGGGGCAGGTGTTCACCAGTGAGGGATGAGTCACGCTTGGGCCCTCAGGCAAAAGCCTGGGCCGGGAGGTAGCACAGGCCTTACCCACTGGCCTCTCATGCCCTGACCCCGGCTCACCTGTGGTTGCCCTGGTCCTGCCCAGAGCTGTCCTGAGCACAGCTGAGCACTGAGTGCACCAGGGGTCGCCTCTACCCTCCAAACAAAGCCTTTACTATAATGTTACCTCAGAAGCCAGGGGATACTGTGATATTGTGATTTATTAACACTTGTTCTACTTTCAGTAATAGTTGAAACAGGTAAAAGAGAGCCCTATGGTTTTGATACTTGTATCACTTGGCCAGCTACACTGCTTGTTACCTGCTCGTTAAAGACAATCTTGGATATTCATATTTGATTTTATGGGCTCTTTAAGTCAATTTAAACTAATGTGCTTTTTTAAAACACTATGTTAAAACTTGGGTTATTCTCCTGTCTCTGCATTTTAAAATGTCAGATCTTAGACCTGCTGTGTCCCAGGTGTGTACGTGCTGTGTTCATTTTATAAGGAACAGCCCCAGAGTTTGAGACAGCAAGTGCCAGTTACTCAGATGTGTAAAGGGCAACTCGAATCTTGGCTTGAGTTTTCCAAATACTTTAGTATTGGAGAAAACAGTGTTTTGATCTATTTGATTATGTTCTTATTTGTTTCTTCTGAAGCAAAACTGGGACCAAAGATGCTAGTGATATAGTTCTGTGATTGAGAAGTTATGTGCCTAGAAGTCTGGGAAATTCAGTAATACTTCCCCAAGCAGCTGTAACTCAAACATTCTGTGAGGTTTTTATGGATTAATATATGATGCCATATAGAGTAATAGGAAATACCATATTTAATATTATAAGAGAGAAGAATTACGGGTTTTGTGGGAGCCATAATTTTGCATAAGCAGATTTCAGACACTGTGAACTTGGAGTAATAATGTAGCACTTGTCTGTGTTTGTATTTCCTGCACATTCAGTTGGTGTTTCTCAGAGTTGGTAGGTCTGGCTGGTGTCGAGTGCTGCCTCATCTAGTAGCCTCCATTCCATGGGGGATGAGGGGGGAGATTCTTAAGGAAGGTAGCTTCCCGGGGAGCGCTCAGTGATTTTTCTCTGAAAGGGCGTGGTAGGCCAAATCAGCCTGGGAACCTGGATCCAGAGGGTGCTCTGGACTGTAGAGTTGGTCATGCATGGCCATTGAAGTGTTCAGGAAGGAAATTTCAGTTTAGGAGTGTAAATTAGAAGAATATTTTAAATGGAAATGTAACTCATTCTGTAGAATTATCATTCTGATAATTAACAGAGTTGGAAATAATCAACTTTGCAATTTAAATAAGTGAAAACCTTAACATGTCTTGAATTTGTATTGCTTGTCCTGAAGGAAAATTTTTGGGAAACGTCTTTATTTTTGCTGTCAGCTAACTATCAAATATCACAAATAAAAATGGTTCAGTCTTGTTTGAGGTTCCCCCCGAAATTGTATTCTCAACCCTGTTCAGAGATCGTGAGGCATTTATTAAATAGGTTTTTCAAACACATATCACCCTTTACCTCAAGTACATTATGCTTATTTTAATGTTCTTCAGGAGTGATTTTCAGGGCAAAAGAATTATGGATTGAGAATTTCTTTGGTGTTAAGTTAAATCATCTTTTTTTTTTTTCCCCAGCCAAATCAAATAGAAAGCTTACTTTTCTGTACTTAGCGAATGATGTCATCCAAAACAGTAAAAGGAAAGGACCTGAATTCACTAGAGAATTTGAGTCAGTCCTTGTGGATGCTTTTTCTCATGTTGCCAGGTATGTTTTCTGTTTTGTTTTGTTTTTTTTTTTAAAATTGTTTTAAATGCATTGACTTTTCATTCTTTACCTTTTCTGTGGTAGCTTTTGTAAGTTGACAACTGTACTTTACAAAGATGTGCTTTGTGAGGTATTACGGAGGCCAAATTATGGTTTTATGTTTTGCTGGTTCTAAGAACTCTCAGTCACGTAAACATTTTGTTGTATTAAAAGGATGGGGGGGGCACAAGCATGGAGAGAGAGTGCAGCGGGTAAGGCGCGTGTCTTGTCTGAGTCGGACCCGGGTTTGATCCCCGTACCACATTCGGTCCCTGAGCCCCGCCAGGAGTGAACCAATAGTGCAGAGCCAAGAGTTAGCCCTGAGCACCACCAGATGTGGCCCCCAAACAAAAACGACAAAAAAAAGAATTTGGTCTAGCACTTGAACTACATTCTTTTCTTCTACGTGTATTAAATTATTGACTGTTTTGAATGTGATATTTTGAGTCATCTTAACAGCTTATTGTCAATAAACAAATCTAGGTATTACAAGGGGACCACAAAGTAACGAAGCTAAATAGCAATAAATTGGTTGCTTTGCATTTATTTTTGCTTATTTCCTTGTGAATGTCTAGGTATCTAATTTGCTAAAAATAGTAGCCATTATTGTAGCTGCAAAGATAGCAGTTATTAGTGTGCAAAGTAGGTATTTGCTCTGGTTCTATGAGATTGCGTCTCTCCCGCTGTTGTGTTTTGTGTCAGAGAAGACGGGAGCATAGAGCACACGTACAACTAACAACACAGGCACTGAACATGTGATTAAAAGGTTTATAGTTTCTGTTAAGAACAGACTGCTCTTCTGTCGATGGAAGTTTGTGGTCCAGGAAAAGGGGAGAAGACATTTTCTTTTAAAATGACATTACTAAACAAACATAAAATTCGTGCAGAGGGAAATTGAGAGGGAAAAGAAGGTGAGCATATCAAAAACTGCTCTAGGGTCTCATGTGTCAGTCACAGGCCTTCAGTGTGAAAATAACCCCATTATTCCGTGAGAAATTAGGAAAGCTAGAAAAAAAGGAAACACAAAAGAAATAGAAATGACTTATTTTTTCTTAGAGAAAAACTATGGGGAAAAGCTTTCCATAGCTTCTGATGAGCGTGAACACTGAAGAAGCTGAATGTGTTAGTAACTTGGTTGACCTGGACTCGATCCCTGGCATCCCCTCTGGTCCCCCGAATCCCATCAGGAGGGCAGCGCCAGTAGTAAGTCCTGAGCACTGCTGTGTGTGACCCAGAAATCAAACTAAATCAAAATAGTTCCATAACTACCTGAGATTGGGTATTTTTTCGTTTTGAGATTTAGTTCACTATTTCTTAAACCTTGGCTGTAGTTCAGCCTCCAAATGGAGTGAACGTAAATGTATTACTCAGCTATTCAACGTAAGTTTTTGAATTGGTTAAAATGTCTATCCCGTTCCAGTTGTTGTGAGGCTGTGTGTATGTGGGGGGTGGGGGGGTGGCAGCGTTGATAACAACAACAAACCCAGCAGCATGCTTGAGTTACTTTCACAATGCCAAATCCACGGCCTTTAATACAGTAACGTCCAAACTCTTGAAAGAAAGGACCAATTATTTTTGTCCTTTGCTCTTTCCAGACACCTGGTAAAGCATGACTGGGTTTTCTCTGGAGGGAATCCCATCTGCATAGCCTCTGTGTGTGGTGTGGAAGGCGTGGGAGCAGGGTGGTCTGCCCTGACACAGCAGGGGTCCAGAAAATGTTGAATGAGTTCTTTAACTTAGCACACGGGAAATAGACTGAAATAATTTTCAGTACTGTGAGTCCACTTAAAAATTGATTAGTAATCTTTTGCTGTTCCCAAACCTGAAGAAGATAATTAGAAAGGGGCAGAAGAAAAGAGCTGGACCATGCCAGAATTTAAATTTTCTTTCTTTCTAGGTACGATCTTAAGACCTCTAGGGGAATATAAAAACAGTTAGGTTCTGACCTCCTTGGGCGTAAAATAAACCTGGTGCTTCTTAAAAATAACAGTCCAAATATCATTCTTTCTGCGTTCTTTTCTTTCTTTGTTATTTTGGTTGGTACCAGGGATCAAACCCAGGGCCTCACATGGAAGGCAGGTGCTCTACCCCTGAACTCTGTCTTTCAACCTTTGTATATTCTGTTTAGAACCCTCCTGTTCCTGTTTCCCAGCTCCACCCCAGTCCAGCCTCTTCATTCTGTCCAGCCCCTCTTATTTGTAATCAGTGCTTTCTGTATGGTTTTACTGTGGTCAGTTGATGAGGTAGGATATTTCACCCGAATCCATTAGGAATATCTTTGTAATTTCCTACCTCTTCCCTCACTCTCTAGCCCAAAACAAACCAGGCCTTTCACATAAAGAAAGATGCTTGGGTCATAAATCAGATTGAATTTGAATAACAATTTATCAGTCTTGGGACGGATTTTTGAGACACATGCCTTCTTTCGTTTCCTACTCAGTCTGGAGGTGTGTGCATTTCCTTTCTCACACACAGTCTCTAGGTGCTCTCTATACTGCTGTATACCAGATACGGGCAGGAGGAGAACTGCACACATCAGGCTAGGACAAAGAAATACACAGAAACGGCCAAGATCCCATCAAGTGGCGATCGTATGGACATAATGAAATAGAATGCCATTTCCGAGTGGGGTCCCTTGTGCTTAAGGCAGACCTCACTATGGAAATCATGCCAAGTTGGGAAGTGCTGTTAAGCTTACGTAGAGATCTTGACCCCTGGGGCCGGAGTGATAGTACAGTGGGTGGGGGACTTGACTTGCATGCAGCCGGCCTGAGTTCATCCCCAGCACCCCGAATGGGCGCTTGAGCCGGGAGTAACCCTTACGTGCCGCTTAGCTCCTTACACCAAAAAAGTGGGGGTGAGGGGGGAGCGCGGGGAGAAAGAGCTCGACATCTTTGGAGCAATGAAGACTAATGTGGTCTGAACACAGTGAGTGCAGTTCAGAGCATAGAGCAGAGATCATGGAGGTAGATCAGTGCCCATCCTGTCTTCCCTTTGAGTCTCGGAAGAGAGGATTTTGTTCTTCTAGGGTTCCTAAGAAGCTTTTGAGCAGGGAAATGATAGATTCTAATTCATGGTGTAAGGACTGCACATAAAGGGCAAGGGAGGGGCCGGCCCATGGGTCCAGCAAGTTTTATTTTGTTCTAGGAGGGGCATTAATAGCTTTTATTGACTGCTTGTACTTAGTGTGTGGATTGGTGTGTTCGTACACACAAGCCATTAGTACAACTCATAGAATTTGTAGGGATTTAGTGGGTGCTGGTGTTAGGGCGAAAGCGAACTGAAAGATCATTTTCTAGGTGCTTTCTTTTTTTATGAGGATTGAGGAAAAGATACAGTAGAGGAACTCAAAAGTTTTGTTCTGGTCATACTAAGTTTGAGATGGCTAGTAGAGTTTGAGGTACCAGATGGTGATACTTATGTATTCTGCCTCAGTTTCCCAAGTCCGTCGTCAGGTTTGGTGACATGGTAGCAGGGCTCTGCGAACTCAGTGAACAGTCGCCCTCACTGCTTTGAGTGCCCCCATTTGTTTATTTTTATTATTTTTTAAATTGATACACAGTGGGATTCACAGTTCCAAAGTTGTCCATGATTGGGTTTCAGTCATGTAATGTTGTAGCACCCGTCACTTCCTACCAGTGTAGTGTCCCCAGGTTCCGTCACGCCTGCCTTTCTCCCTCTCCTTCTCCCTTCCTCTCTCTCCCCTCCCCTCCCTCTCTCCCTTTCTCCCTCCCTCTCTTTTTCCTTTTGGGTGTTATGGTTTGCAGTACAGAAAATGAAAGGTTCTCAGATATATCCCTTTACCTATTTTCAACACCCAGTTCCTTTCCAAAATGATCGTTTCCAACTATTATAGTCATGTTGGTCCCTTCTCTATTCTAACTGCCTTTTCCCCTCACGCTCTTGGCAAGCTTCCAACCATCGACCAGACCTCCTGACCTTGGATATTAGTCTCATACTATATATATATGTACACACATATGTACACATATGTAATATCCTACAAATTAATGCAGTCATTCTATATCTGTCCCTCTCCTTCTGGCTCATTTCACTCAGCATGATACTCTTCATGTCCATCCATTTATAAGCAAATTTCATGACTTCATCCTTCCTAAAGGCTGCGTAGTATTCCACTGTGTAGCTGTACCATAATTTCTTTCTCCATTATCTGTTCTTGGGCACTCCGGTTGTTTCCGGATTCTGGCTATTGTGAATAACACTGCAGTGAACTTAGAAGTATAGTTGGCATTTCTGTTGTGTTTTGGACCTTCCGGAAGTGGTATTGCTGAGTTAAGTGGGAGCTTAATTTTTAATTTTTTTCTTTTTGCGGAATTCCATATTGTTTTCCAAAAAGGCTGGGCCAGTCAGTATTCCCTTTGTTGAAGGGTGAGTCCCTTTCTCCCCACATCCACATCAGCACTGGTTGCTCTTATTCTTCTGGATATGTGCCAGTCTTTGTGGTGTGAGATGATATCTTATTGTTGTTTGATTTGCATCTCACTGAAGATTAGTAATGTAGAGCATTTTTTCACGTGTCTTTCGGCCATCTGAATTTCTTCTTTGAGGAAGTTTCTGTTCATTTCCTCTCCCTATTTTTTGGTGGGATTGGGTATTTTTTTCTCATAAAGTTCTACCAGAGTCTTATATAACTTTGATATTAACTCTTTATCATATGGGTAAGTGCCCCCCATTATTACATTAGGAGAGGAGCAAACTCGGCAAAGCAAAGATGCACAGGATGATCCCAGAGACTAGCCGGCCTGGAGTTCGCAGCGTGCAGTCACTGGTGTCACGCACGATGGCTTTAATTCACCCGGCATTGAATTCACTAGAGACCAGGGCTTTTATTGGGGTTGGTCACATAGACGCCCTGTACCACAGTTCCAGAAAAAGTGTATGTTCAGCATAGGCCGTGCTGTTGGCTCAGTGTAGGCGCAGCGAAAGCCACCCTGATCGTTAGGAGGTGTGGAACATTCCTGAAATGCAAGTTCTCCCCAGCCCATGGTGGCGAGCCTGCTGAGCGGCCTGTCTGTGGGTGGTTATCGTAGAGTTGCTGCTTCACTCTTTCTGCCAAATTGCCGAGGGATGTTGCTGCCGCAGCTTCTCCTGAACGGAAATGCTGCCGGAGATGCTGCACCCGCTCGGAATCCCTGCCTTAAAGACCTGCGGGGTCACAGAAGGGCGTCCAAACTGCAGCTGCAGAGGAGGGAGAGCCCCGAGCTAGGTTGGCAGGGTGCCCCATGTAGCTGACACTGCAGTAGCTGTCCTGTCTGTGTATAATGCTCACTTTGTCTTGGATCAGATCTGTAGTGGTTGGCTGTTGGGGTCCAGCGGGGAGAGGGGCCTCCCAAGTGTTCAGGAGTCTCGGGCTACCCTAGCTGGTTCAGCGCAAGGGCCTGTGGCAGCATCGTTGCTTGGGCCTTGTGGTGCTGGGGATCTGAGCAGTGCTGGGGCCTCATGGTTTTTTTGATTTTAGTTTTGGGGCCACACCGGGTGATGCTCAGGGGTCACTGTCTCTCCGGGCCTGGGTTTTTTAATTAGCATGAGGTTAAGTATACAGTAGTTTAACACATAGCAGTTATCACCTTCCAGTTATTTCATTTGTGCATTAGTGGTAAAGTTTTTTGCCTTTTTTAAAAGAGGTTTCTCAGTTTAGAGTGGAGAGTTTAGTTTGTGGCCTGAAAAAACAGCTTTTTTTTTTTTTGCTTCAGTTGCTCAGGTGATTTCTAGTTTATTGGAGCTCCTTCTATCAAAACCTCATCAGTTAATATTCTTGACGGTTTTATCTGTAACATCGAAACAAACCTTGGTTCACTACAGTGCTCAAAGAAGGCGCCTGTCTTCTTTCCTCGTCAGCAGTGAGCAGAGTCTCCTGTTGGGCTTCAGCCTTTAGTGGTGAGAGCCTTCTTAAAAGGCTTCTGGTGCCTGAGAAGCTAGTGCAGGAGTCCAGGCGCTCCCCTCCTCACCTTGAAGGTGCCTGTCACCGGGGCCTGGGTGCGAGGCCCTGGCACCACATGATCTCCTTGGCACGGCCAGAGCTCGCTTCAGAGCACAGCGTCAAGAGCAGTGGAGCATCACAGGGTCATGTCTCCCCTCCCCCCAATTAACGCAAAACTAGGGATTATAGAGATAGTTCGTACAGTGTGTAAGGCGCTTGCCATGCACGCTGCTCACCCGCATTTGGTCCCCGACACCCCGTGTGTTCCCCACAAGCCTGCCAGGAGTGATCTCTGAGCGCTGCTGGGTGTGGCTCAAAACCAAAAGACCATAAAATGGAAAACTAGAAATGGCTTTTGGTAGTAACTTAGGCTTAAGCATTAGTGTCCACCATAAAGGAATGTTGGTCTTCTCAAAGTCAGCTTGCACCCTGATCCCCCAGTCCAGCAAGCAAGGTGGAGGGGTGGCAGCCTCTTCCCTCCCTTAGCTGAGGTAGGACTTAGTTCCCACAACTGGCCTCTGCGTTAGAAAAATTTCAGAGAGTAGGTTTTATGGTAAAAGTACCAACAGGTTAATTGATTTGATCAGTTTTATTGGTTTTACTAATTACAGGGGCTTTGTTATTATTTGTTTTAAAGCTATGCATTTGCTCTCATCAGGGAATTGCCAGTTCTTTCAGGAGTAAGGTCGTTAAGAGGTCATTCATATCCTCCAGTTGATTCCACTCTATTCCTCCACATTCTTTTCTTACTGCCAGATACTTGCCATCTTTTCGGACCGGCTGACATGCAGCTCCTTCCTCTTCCCCTTACTCTATTTCTGAGGTGCCGTTCAGAGCAGTGATGGGTAAGCAGAGGCATCTGCCTGAGAAGGAGAAGTCGAGTAGAATTACACATGGTAGAGTTGAACAGAACGTGAAGGCCAGAGAGGGTCTGGGAAGGAGGCAGACGGCTGCTGGGTCAAACCCTAGAGGCCAGCACTTGGGCTGAGTTCTTTACATTCTAAATACGGGCTCCTTTGACACCAGTGAGGTCCATGTTAGAAGGAGAGTGCTTAGTTGATGACTGGAAAGAACGACTGACGCAGGAAGACTGTTGTTGAAAGCTGATTGTCTCACCTACGAAACCTGAGGTTACGATCAGCTTTTACTGAGTTTCCTCTAGGATTGACAGCTGTGGAGAAGATGAGGTGACAAATTGAAATGACATTCAAATGGAAAGATTGTAAACCTGTAGATTTATCCAAAGAGAAGTTACATGGAGAAAATTTAAGTAGCTGTTGGGGTATATTTTATTGATTTTTGGCTTTCTGTGTCACACCTGGTGATGCTCAGGGGTTGCTCCTGGCACTGCGCTCAGACATTACTCTTGGCAGTTCTCAGGGGACCATATGGGGATTGAACCTGGGACAGCCACGTGCAAGGCAAACACCTACCTGCTGTACCATCAATCTGGCCCCAATTTTATTTTATTTGTATCTTTCTTTTTCTTTTGTTTATTAGTTTAGGGGGAGGCTTTGGGTTTGAGGTCCATGTAGTGAGACTCGAACCCAGGCACTTGCCTGCAAAATCATGGGTATTAGCCCTTTGCGCTACCTCCCTGGCCCTACGTGCAATTTTATTTTATTTTGGTTCTTGGGCTGTACCTAGAATTGCTTGCAGTTTACTCTTGGCACTGCACTCAGGGATCACTCCTGCAGGAATCCAAGGACCGTTTGGGGTGCTGTGTGTTGAACCTGTGTTGACTGTGTGTGAGGCAAGCACCCTTCTGGCGATATTATCATTCTGGTCCCCCTCAGAAATTGCATCCCCACTCTGGTGTAATTTCAAATAAGGAGATGAGGGGAGAACTCGCCGAGAAGGTCCTGATGAGAGGAGCGAGGGGGAGATGGGAGGGCAGTGAGGTGACTCAGGGCCGTAGAGGCTCCACCTCTGTTGTAAGGGAGAACAGGAGACCTGTTGGAGGCCTGCGTAAGAGTGCCGGGATCTGCCTCGCAAGAGCAGAATTATATCTTGAAAATAAACGAGAGTAAATTGTAGTAGGACAGAGAGGGAGAAGGGAGACCAGTGATGAGGCACTCAGAGCTTTAGGGGTTGACTCCAGGTGGATAGCAGAGCCAGGGCTGGGAAGAGATTCCCTTCTATATACTTTGAAGGTATAGTAAAAGTATTTTTAATCAGGAGTGATTGAGTCATGTACGAAACGAGCTATCAGTGTAAATTGTTTTCCTTTTTTCCCTAAAATTCATCTCTTTAAAAATATGCAATAATTTGTGTATACCCTAATTTAGTTCCTTGGCTCTAATTTGGTGAGATTTGCTACTAATAATTCATAATAACACAGTGTGGCTAGATTCACCTGAACTCTCAACTCGCCTTGAGGATAAATGTGTGTGTAGGAAGGGGCTGGGAGAGCTGTGGGTGGATGGGCTAGCCACTGCACTTGACTGCGGTGTGGTTTCTTGAAATCCCTATTTAAGATACTGGCATCCGTACTGAGATGTTGGGGTACCTTGTAGAAAGTCACGCAGTGCAAGGCCGCTAACAATAGGCCCAGCCCATCCTCCCCGACTCCCTCCTGCTTCGGCTTCGAGGTTTTCTGATACTTTGCGGGGAACACCTCGGTCACACGCAGGGCTAGTTCTCACTTAGTGACAAGAGTGCAGTACGTCAGAGAAAAAAAGCTTTCCTGGTTTCTTTCAGATTAAAGTTAACAAAGAACTACAGCGTTTAATATTCTGTGAGACCTCTTTATGTGAACATGGAATGCAGACCTAGCCCAGAATTGATATTACAGTTTCATAGTTGATTTAAGCTCAGTCTTGACATTCATTTAATGATTTTTATATATGTATTCTAGAGGTGTTGCGGTGTTAGCATTGATGAGTTGTGGACTTAACTACCCATATGGGGAGGGGGATATATTTTTGTTAAATTATTTCTTTTCAAAGTTTGGCCCACTTTAGTTTTCAGCAGAAGTTCTGGCACTAGATCTCAGTGTCTTCCCAAACAAAGCAACTATCAAAATTGTTATGATCAATCTTTGATGATTTTTTTGTTCAGAAAAATCAGCCATGGACGTTTTGCTTTGTTGGTTCCACCTTTCAGAAGGGACAAAAGCAATGGCATCTGTAGCGCAGTCTCTCTCGCCCCTCCTCCGTGTCCGCGGGAAGAAAGAGGCCTCTGGTCAGGTGTGGGGTTGATCACAATATGTACCTTAGTTCTCTTGTTTTTAAATATGTACATCTTCTAGTCAGTTTTTTTAAAAAGTAGATCTGTCCTATTTTAAAAAAATCTTAAGCTTATACATATTTTTTTCATCTTTTTTTGGGCAGAGAGGCAGATGAAGGCTGTAAAAAACCTTTAGAAAGATTGCTGAACATCTGGCAAGAAAGAAGCGTGTATGGCGGCGAGTTCATACAGCAGCTGAAGTTGTCTATGGAGGACTCCAAGAGCCCTCCCCCCAAAGGTAGAGACCCCACCACACGTTTCCCGCCCCGGGTCTTTGCCTGCTTTCGAATCCCACATGAAAAGCTGCAGTGGGGGCTGCTGGGAGCCACCAGCGAGTCTGCGGTGCTGCAGAGAGATGGTCATGAGCGATGGTGAGAATTGCTGTGGTGCTCCCAGCGTGCCAGCCCGGCCTCGTGTTCGTGCCGCTTCCCACCGGACACCCGAAGTTTTGTGCTCTGCTCTTCTTGACTTTTCTCTGCTTTCCAGATTTTTCTTGCACCTGGGGAAAGAACTAGGTTGTTCAGAGTTGTGGGAAACTTGTTAGTGCCCTGGACTCTGGGTCCATCTGAGCCCGGCCACTGACTGCTGCAGGACCCCAGATAAGTTCCTTGCCCCTTTTAGAACTTAGTTGTATGAAGTATGGACGTGCTGTGGGAACACACGCTTCTGTTCACGTGTTTGGCAGATTGCTGTCCACTCTTGATTTTGGTCGTTTCCGAACTGCTTAGGATATCCCAGGAGATGCTGAACACGATGGAGACATTACTGGGCCCGCTCGAGCAAATATCGATGAACAACGGGAGGACAGTGCTACAGTGCTTTTTTATTTTTAATCTTCTTTATTGGGGGTGGCTCACACCTGACGATGCACAGAGGTTACTCCTGGCTCATGCACTCAGGAATTACTCCTGGCGGTGCTCAGGGACCGTATGGGATGCTAGGAATTGAACCCGGGTCGGCCGCATGCAAGGCAAATGCCCTACCCGCTGCGCTATTGCTCTAGCCCCCAAGAGTAGTACGAGTTCTTAAGAATTCAGGTGATTTTAAGAATTCTTAAGAGTTCATGTTTTCTTTTTTTCTTCTTTCAAAAAAGACTTAAGATCAGACATCTGATTCTCTGACTCTTGGGATGCTCTGCTATCTAATCTTGGGGTTGACATGGCGTGTTTGAACTTCAGTCTGATCTGATGCGGGCTTACTGCTGGGCCGTCAGGTCTGGGTGCTACCAGGGAACTTAGGACCCTCAGAGTCTGAACGGACTCCTAGTTCTTCCATCACTCCCTCTCACTAGCATCTCTTTTCACTCTGATATTGTGTTTTCACACCGTCACTTCATTTTCTACTGTCTAAACTGTCCCAGTCACCGTGTGGTACTTCCACTCTGTTCTCCAAGTGCTGCTCTCCGCTCACACCTTTCCTAGCTGGCCGAGGCCCCTGGTGCCGTTTCCTTTATGTTCCTCTGGACGTTGATTCCCGCCTCTGCTCTGGAACTGAACTAGGATCAGCGTACGCGGTGATGCCATTGGCTCTCAACCATTCGCAGTTTATATCCATGTTCTAGGTGTGATCACATTTCCCGTGACATTCGAGGCTGGAGACCTTCTAAAGGAGACGGGAGTACTGGGGCTGGAGAGATGGAATAGTGGGCTAGGTGCTTGCCTTGCATGTGGCCTGCCCAGATGTTTGATCCCTGGCACCCCATCTGGGTCCAAATGCATCTCCAAGAGGGATCCCTGAGCGCAGAGCCAGGAGTAAGACCTGAGCATTGCCAGGCCTGGCCCCCAAAGAAAAGAAAAGAAAAACAACAGACAGGAGTACTTTCAGACTACGGGTTATTATGATTTTTCTTGGAGCAGACAGGAAACAATTTTGTGGTCATTGGTAGTAACTTGTGGAAAAGCCGTTTTTTTCCTGCTTTGGATTCTGGTACTGTTTTGTGTTGTGTCCTTTGGAAGTCGTCTGCACAGTGCTTGGGAATTAGCCAGCATTCTTTTCTCCACTCTGCCTTAGAGTTCATTGGTAAACAGTGCTGATTCTGTAAAACACCTCTGGGCAAGTGGGAGAGCTCTGGAAGACCGTGTTTGGAGCCGAGTGTTGAATTTCAATTCAGCCAGCATTTGCCAGGCGTGTGCTGCGAGTCAACAGTCACGCTGGACACTCTTGGAAGAGCGAGGAATAGGCCTGTTCTTGGGGAGCAGCCGGGCAACTGGGGGCTTTATGGCCATGGTTGTTTTGAACATAGCTCCGTGGGGTTTTACTTATTTCATTGTATATATTGAGCGTCTATCAGCAGGCAGGCGTCCTCCTCCGTGAAGGATAACCCTGTGGAAAGACGATCTCCCTGTCTCTTCAGTAAAGGGCTGGTCGCGGATCCAAAGAGTTAACACGTGAATCGGTCCCAGTTAACGTGCGCTCTCCTCAGGCTTCACTGGACCTGGTTACCAGAATATTTCATTAGAATCTTTTGGAATATTGGTGTTTCCTAGAAGTTTGTTTTCAAATTTAAATCATGTCAGCTTTGATTCCGGGATAATTGTCCTCAAATAACTTCAGAGTTTGCCTTTGACATGGGAATTTTGCTGTGGTTCTTCGGCAGTTCCTCCCACATGGTGTTCTCTTTTAGCTTTCTTGAGTCGGTCCTGTCTCCCTGGGTGCAAGACACCAGCCCCAGGGCCCCAAGGGCGTCTCTGCTCGTGGGAACACCTAGGCTCCTGGGGACAGGATGGAGCCTCGTTGTCGAGTCACACACGTGTCCTCATACTGTTTAGAAAAGAAAGCTGCAGAGACCGAGGAAACAGTGTTTGTTGAGCGCTTACTGTACACCCCCCTGGCTGCCTTTTTTTGGACTTATCTTAGATCCATACAGCTGCTCTCCTCCAGCTGCTGTGTCAAATCATTACACGTTCTTTTCCCGTTTCAGATGCGAACAGTAAGGCTCAAAGGGCTTAGTAATTTTGTCCAAACGGATAATGATCAGACCCGTTAGAGTCCAGCTGACTTTAAAGCCCATTCTTCAGAAAACAACAGTGCTGCTACCCTGGCACTGTGCTTGGGGTCGGGGCTCCCTCCAGCCTTCGGTTCCAAATCTACCCTGGTCGGTGGGCTTGCATCAGGGTATGGAGTAATGAAAGGCCACCCAGCTTTCCTGGGCCTTCAGACAGTTGAGCTGAAGGCCATAGCAGGAGTTGAAACTCAGACTTCCTTGCACCTGGGGAAAGAGTAAGGAGGTTCCGGTTCTTGCCTTGCACATGGCCAAGCCTCGTTCCATCTCTAGCACCACATATGGTCCCCTGGGCTTAGCACCTGGCATGAACACAGCCGGGTGTGACCCCAGATACTTATAAAATAAGTAAATATAAAATAAAATCAGACCGCGGGGGGCCATTGAGGTGGCTAAGCAGGCTGAGCACAGACTTTGCATGCAGGAAGCCTCAGGTTTGACCTGATCCTCTGTGATCCCCTCAGGCAGGGACAGAAGAGGTTTCTGAGCATCTGCTGGTGTCCCCAAACCTCCCAAGGTCAGTCAGGTGCCCAGAGTGTGGATCCCAGCACTGATCATTTCCAGCCGTGTGACCTTGGCCATCGCATTTGACCCCTCAGAGCCCTAAATTAAGGCACTTGCAGCTAACCCTGGTTCAATCCCTGGCATCATGTTTGGTCCCCTGAGCCCCATCAGTACCCTGGGCACAGAGCCAGGTGACACCAGGTAGGGTTGTGGTGAGATAATTGGAGATGTATAGGCTAGATAAAAATCAGGGTAAAACTTGTAACATCTACCCCAATGCTAGCATCTGACGTTCTTAGTTTATAATTATGACCCTGTAGCAAAAGCACGTATGTTCCTATGTTCAGTACCCCAGACCCTGGTCTTGTGCCAGGAGAGAACAGTGGTTAGAGCAGCTGTTTCCGAGCTGCACCTCTAGGTCTGTCACTCAGTTCTGAGATGGACACTGGCTGGGCTCCCTGGGCCAGCCCTTTGTTTCCCGCCTGGGTTTCTCCCCAAGTAAAGTTGAGTGGTCCGAAAAATGAGAGCTCCTTTATTTTCCAAGGAGGGAACAAAGAATGTGAGGTGCTGCAAATAGTACTTGCTAATTCTTTTCTCAGTATAAAAGTGTTTTTTATATATATATTTATTTATTTGTTTATTTTGCTTTTTGGGTCACACCCAGCGATGCACAGGAGTTACTCCTGGTTCATACACCCAGGAATTACTCCTGGCGGTGCTCGGAGGACCATATGGGATGCTGGGAGTCGAACCTAGGTCGTCTGCGTGCAAGGCAAATGCCCTACCTGCTGTGCCGTTGCTCCAGCCCCTAAAAGTTATATTTTTAAAAAGTCAGTTATACCCCAGATTTTCTTTTAATTTAAAAAAAATACGAAATTTGTAAGATTTTCTTCCCCCTTAATTTCCGAAAATAAATTAATTTAGAAGATCAGCTTCACTGGTAGATTGCCTGTGTTTCATAAATAATCTGAGGGCCTTCAGGCCAACCTTTTGCCTTAAAGTTAGTCTCCATTCAGTCCTGGTATCTAAGGTGTCACCACAGTTAGGTCTGCAGAAACCTTTAGGGAATTGATTACCTGGAGGTGAGCTGAGCCTCAGGCCTGGTAGAGACTTGGGGAAGGCTCATGTGTCAAAGAGAAAAAGGCACTGGGTCAGGGCCACCTCAGTGTTTGCAGTGCTGTGAGCAGGACCATGGTGGTAGACGGGGTGCCTCAGTTTACACGCAGGTGTGGGCTGTGCCCATAGATTTCCTGTCTAGTGGCTGTGTGTCTAGGCTAGAATGGTCACCCCTGCTGCTCACTTTGTCCAGCAGAGTGAGGGCAGCAATGGTGGGCGTTACTGGCTCAGGACTGGTACTTTCCCAACTCTGCCCTCAGAGATTCCAGCACGGGAGATGACCAGCAAGCGACTCACTGTATCTGTTAGCAAGGGGAAGCCAGGTCACTTGCCCCTGTGCTCTCGCTGTGGCCCCTGGGGCCCTCATCCTCTTGCCTCCAGTTGGGTTCTGCCAACGTCCAAGGGCCAGAGGAAGAGAACCTGGAGCCAGCCTCTCTCCCCCAGGCCCAGGGCCAGAAGATGGAGCGAGAGGTAGTGAGGGGAGCTGAGAGAGGGGGGAGGGGGGAGTACTCAGGCCACCACCATTGCTACAGATCAGGCCTTGAACTTGGGTGTCCACGCCAGGGCTTGAACAGAGGTAAGATGGTTACGCGCTCGGCTTCCAGGGTATGCCCGTAGTAAAGGTCTGGTCTTGGCTGGGAGGGGAGTGACTGGCCAGGGCAATGCAAAGGACAGAGGGCCACGAGGGCTCTGGGAAGCAGCCCTCAGTGAGTGGTCTCCGAGCCTGTACCCAGAGGGTTGTGTGAGGAGGGGTGTTGATACAGGAAGCAGCAGCCCAGGCTTAGGGGGCCTGCCGGTGAGGGAGAAACAGCCGTCCCCCTGCGTCAGTGGAGAAGGGAGGCTCCCAGCTGACCGTCCCTCACGGCAGCAAAGGCTCTAAAATGGTTCTCAGTGCTCTCGGGTGAATGGGGTTGGGGATGGTACGGAGAAGCCCAGAGTAGGAGGTGGCTGGCGTTGCAGGCCTCAGGCTGGGCTCCAGAGGCCATTGAGTGCCAGGAGGCAGTGGGGGCGGGGGCGGGGGTGGGGATTTGGGATTGTGGTTCATGTGGTTCATGTGGTTTCACGTTGAATGGTTTCTCAGAGGGCTTTGAAAACAGGAGGAGTCAAGTTTTTTCTGCCTTTTTTAGAGTGATTTAGCAGTTTGAGTGGTTTTCCAGGTGTTGGACTGGAACAAAACAAGAGCACAATTGCTTTGCTTTTTCTGCTCCAGCCTGGCCACTTCTGCTGTGCCACTTTGGCGCTGCAGTGGCCAAATGTCTGCATGGACCATACTGTGTGCTAGTAGTCTATCGGTCAGTTACTTTGAGCAAAGTGCTATTCGCTGTTCTGTATGAGATGACAGCTCTGGGCCAGAGAGGTAGTACAGTGGGTAAGGCACTTGTCCTGCCTGCAGCCTACCGGGTTTGACACCCCCCCCCCCTCCCCACCCCCCAACCCCCCCGCCGGCACTGTGGATGGTCCCCTGGGCACCAGCAGGAATGCTCTCTGAGCACGGTGGGTGTGGCCCACCCCCGTTAATAGACCAGTAAAAGTATCTACGCACATTGCATGGCAGGCCAGACTGGCCACCTGGCGGGAGAGCTGAGGCTGATAATGATCCTGCCGGGGAAATGGCCGTTGTTCTCTGGCTGTCAGCATTTTGGTCCAGGAATTAAAATTCTGTTGATCACAAATGTACATGTAAACAAGATAGTAATACTAGGGGCAGTTCAGCATAGAATGAAAAATTAGAAACTTTGAGGATAAAAATGTCCTATCTGTTTGTAGCTTCTGAGTGTGGTGTGAAGGGTGTGGCCTGAGGGTCTGAGCGCGCACCTGTCCTGGGTGCAGCCCCTGCCGGCTTCTGTCACCTGCTCTGAGTGCTGGGGGACAGCGCCCTCATGTTCGGTCATGGGAAGGGTCTTGTTGCATCACTGCCTCTGGGACATTGTCATCTTCTCATTGTAGCCCCTTTCCTCGCCTGACTTCTCGCTGATGACTTGAATCTGGGGTGGTGGGGGTCCAGCTTCTTCCGCCAGCTGTTTCTCTGGGGGCTCGTTTAGGGTCCCTTCATTGATCACTTCCAGTGTGATTCTTAGCGTCTTTGCTTCCTTTCCCTCTTCGGTCGATTCCCTTCTGAGTATTCATTTTAATAAAATGTCATGGATTTTATCACTGGGAGACAAAGAGACAACACAGCTAAACACTTTGCTGTCTCTGTGTGACCTGAATAGCAGATGTGCAGTGACCAATCAGTGACCTTGAAAGAAGTGATGTGATTGGTCACTGGTTATGATGCACTGCTCTTATTTATGTGGTGGTTCGGGGGCTGAAGTTAGCAGCGAGGTTTATTCTTTATGCAATTACTCAGAGCTATATGCCATGGTAACTGAAATTTGAACCTTGTGTTTGAAGAACTGGTGTAATTTAAACCTTGGTAACAAATCTGCACACGGTAGAATCACGCTGAGTAAGGGCCATCTGCATTGCAAATGCTTGCTGGGTCTCTGCATAGAGTAATTTTTTCCTTTTTATTAAAAAAAGAATAAAACCCATGAAATTGACCTAGCTTTCACATCAAACAATAGTTTGGTCAGTTTATGTATCTATATTCTATATATCATATATATACATATATATGTATTCGTCGATTGCCTCGAGCAGGCCCCAGTAATGTCTCCTTCTCCTAGCCCTGAGATTTTTTTTAAAAAGTGCCATATTCAAGGCTCTTTCAGAGTTAGGAGAATGAGACCCATCATTGTTACTGGTATATATTAGAAAACAGTAACCATGCCCTTGATCTCAGAAGTTCTTTATTCTGGACTGGGGGCCTGAGCTTGCTCCCTGGTACATGGGGTGGGATTTGGGAGGTGGAGGAACTGAAAGACATTCTGGTTTGTCCTGGGTCCTTCGAGGGGGGGGGGGGTCACCTTTTCCGACAGCTGGAGGAGCAGGTAGGTAAGACTCGGTAATTTGTGTATGATGAAAAGAGCAAATTTTGATATATTCTGCTTTTCTGGGTCTTTATTTCCTTACCTGTAAAATGGAGTTACCGTGTCTCAGAACGTTCAGGACTACATACAGACCATCACAGCACAGGGCACATGTGCGCATCCAGAAATTTCTGTACTTTCCAAACTAGACTTTGTCTTTACATGTATGTTCCTCGGATGTTAGAACTTACTTTATATTTAGTCCAGTTTGATACTAAAGGAATGATTTTGGAATTAAAGCACGTAAATTTTAAATCACCCAGAATAATCATTTAAAAAATGTAAAATCGTCTCCAAATTAGTTAATTTTAAAACGATAACAACTTATTTTTCTGAATATTTTCAATCATATTCACAGCAGTGTTTCTTTTGAATTTAAAGGTAAATTTAGGCCCGTTTTTAAAGAAATAGCTCACAAGATACTTGAGTTTAGAGTTTTGACTACAATCTTATCTATGGTTTTCTTTCTGTTTTACAATATCACGATCATGATCATCCTGTTGTTCTTCAATTGCCTCGAGCAGGCACCAGTAACGTCTCCTTCATCCTAGCCCTGAGATTTTAAAGAGTGCCATATTCAAGGCTCTTTCAGGGTTAGGAGAATGAGACCCAGTTTTACAATATATGAAGTATAATAGTATAATCTATTTTGTTTGAAATAAACTCTACCAACGGTCACATGTTTCAGCTTACTTCACTGTATTATCTGATAGTCTTCTCACTATTCTATTTGTCCTGTTCACCTTTGAGATTCTGAGGTTTGGTGGCTGGAGAGAGTGCAGGGCTGCAGGAGTGCTTTGCCAGTTGGAGGCCCACCTGTGATCCCTGGCAGCACCAGGCTGTGGCCAACCCAGGCCTCTGTTCCCAAAGTTGATAGTGAAGTTTTAAATCAAATGTGTTTCACTCCTGGAGGAGTGTTTCAGTGGCATTTTCTAATGAGTTGGTCTGAGATGACTCTTCACAAGCCATTGGACTCCTCTGTAGTGCAGGGAACTGGCACCATTTTGCAGCCACTGGCGTGAGGGTTCATCTCGGCTGTCTCTGGGCTGTCCATCCTCTCAGTCTTACCTGGGGCCTGTTGTGCCGCGTGTAACCCACACATTCATCAGTTTTTAAAATTACTTTTAGCGACAGAGGAGAAGAAATCTCTGAAGCGAACATTTCAGCATATACAAGAGGAAGAGGATGATGACTACCCTGGGAGCTACTCTCCCCAGGACCCTTCTGCTGGACCCCTCCTGGTATGTTTACACTCCTGGGGCACAGCGCCACAGCGGACAGTGGCTGTGAGTGGACGATTGTGGCCACCAGGTGGCGCTGCTGACCAGTAGCATGGGCACCCCGGGCAGGACCTGCCGGGCAGTCTCCGGGTGGCAGGCCCAGCTTCTCTGTGTCCTGATGCCGAGAGGGATTTCTGTTTTATAGTGCACTTAAGCTCAGGGTCTTTTGGGCGCCTATAGTTGAAAATACTCTTAAAAAGATCTTTGCGAAAGGGTGGATAAACTTATAAAAACACGAGAAGGCCTCTGCCGTGACTTGTCTTCCCAGGACAGACGGTTCTCCTCAGAAACTCCCCGTTCTCTGCAGCAGGCTCTGGCCACAGTGGACGCCTGTGCGGGAACGATGTCAGTGTTCAAGCAAGGAAGGCGCCTTCCCTGACTTAGTTACTGTCCCCTTGCCTTGTTTGGCACTTCTGTAAATCAGCGTGTGAGCTGTCATTGGTTTAGGTTAGTGATTCACTTCTTTACAGTGTAAGTAAGAAAACGAGGCTCCAGGGGACAGATTCGGAACTGATGTCCTGATTTGCATGTGGGCCTGACTTCATGCTCTTTTAACTGAGTTATGTAGCCTCTTTTGTTCAAACCGTCTTTATCACGCCTGCGTATGTTCAAGGCCTATGTAAATAAGAAGCATGTTCTGATTTGTGTGTTAAGGTGTTGAATTAGAGAAGGGACTAAATCAAAAACAGTATCAGGTTACAAGTGCACTTTAAAACAGAGAGGGCCAGAGCCACAGTACAGCAGGTAGGGCATTTGCCTTGCATGCAGCCAACCTGGTTTGATCCCCGGCATCCCATAGGGTCCCCGAGCACAACCAGGAGTAATTCCTGAGTGCAGAGTGAGGAGCAACTCCTGACCCAAGAAGCAAAAAAAAGAAAAGCCCGACACAAAGACTTTCAGGAGCTGGAGTGATAGCACAGCGGGTAGGGCGTTTGTCTTGCACGCGACTGACCCGGGTTCGATTCCCAGCATCCCATATGGTCCCCTGAGCACCGCCAAGAGTAATTCCTGAGTGCAAAGCCAGGAGTAGCCCCTGTGCCTCACCATGTGTGACCCAAAATGCAAACAACAACAACAAGACTTTCAAGAGCAGCCTGGATTAGTGACTTTTTTGGGTCCTCAGCCTGTGTTGTCAGGTCCCCCCAGAGCATGACCGGTAGACTGTCTATCAGTGTTCTGGTCAGCACTTGCACAATCCAGGAAGAGGTTCCGTTCTTGGTTTGCTCTTTGTAGCTTTTCCCGCTTATAATGAATAAGTTTGGCATTTTGAATTTTAGGAGTGTTTGCCAAAATGGAAATAAGTCATTTTGGTGGTATTGATTTGGTAGCACGCAGTCAGCCCCTGCAGGCTCACTGAGGGGCTGTGGTGGCCGTGCCCGGGCTCTCAGCGAGACCCTTCTTCGCTTGGAAACACGCGCCACTGAAACTGAGCAGGACCAGCCTAGCTGTTTCCTCAAATTGCAGGAAAACATGCTCTTACAAGTCATTTTGAAGAGTTATATAGTTTATTAATATCTGCCATGGGCTTAGAAAATTCTGGTTTTAGATTGTCTCAGAAGCCATCTCATGAGCTTCAATATAAGCTGTAGAACTAAGAATAATTTTTCCTTATGTCAGGAATGATTTTTTGTTTGTTTGTTTTAAGAGTGTGTGCTTCATATAGCTTCACTTAATTTCTGTGAAGTTCCTTTTTAATGGCTAGTGTTGTTGTGTTATACAGACCGAGGAGCTCATCAAAGCTCTGCAGGACCTGGAAAATGCTGCTTCGGGGGATGCCACGGTCCGACAGAAGATCGCATCCCTGCCCCAGGAAGTGCAGGACGTGTCTCTGTTGGAGAAGATCACAGGTGAGAAGGGGGCATCCGAGGGAAGCACTCAGGGCTTCCGCTCACGCTTAGAGCTGCAGGTGCAGATTTCCCCTGTGGCGTGTTGCGGGGGGGGGAGGTTAGAGCATAACTAGTGTGTTGAACAGGGTCACTGTTGAAATCGCCTGGGCTTGAGGAGTGAACCTAGAAATGAGGAGGGAAGTGGCGGCAGTGACAGCCCGCCGCAGCCCGAGGACCCTCTGGTCTCGGGAAGCAGTGCATGGGGGATGGGGAATGAGCATTAAAGTTGAGATGTTCTCACAACGGAACCATCACGAGTCCGCGCTCTGTGGTGGGTAAATGGTGCACTGGCACTCCTGTAGATGATGGCGCCTTCAGCGGAGCCCCAGCTGTGTGCTGTGGGTCAGTGGTGCACCTTCTGGGTTTCCCCAGTCCAACAGGGGGCCTGTTGGTCCTCCTACTCTAGGAGTGGGGAAGTGAGAGGTGGAGAAAGCCAAGCCTGAGTATTTCCAGAGAATGTCCCGTGCTGGCTGGGATCATCTTCAGGCGTCGCTGGCCCTCTCCTCTCCATCAGAGGAATGGGGCGGGGAGTGCTCTCGTTGCCACACTCAGCAGACGCCTTGAGATTCCAGCCTCATCTCTGAAACCCATGTTCTTTCCGATACTTTTCCAAATTCCCCACTTTACCCCTCCAGTTTCTTCGTTTGTCTGCCTCAGTGACTTCATGTCTCTCCATCCAGACCAGGCCAAGGTCGCCTGTGAAGTATTTCCTCCATTCAACAACCGGCTAAGGCCCGCTGTGTAGTGTTGTCTATCCACAGCAAGAGTTAAGTGCTAAGAGGAAAGAGCAGGGGTTGGGGGTGAAGGGTAAGTCGGGTTATTCTGTTCATGTGTTGTATAGTGCTGGGAATCGAACCCCAGGGCTTCTTATTTGTAAAGCGTGTGTCATACCACTGAGCATAGTCCCAGCTCTTTTTCACTGTGACTCGCAAAGCTATTCAGAGTTGAGTGCCAGCACCAATCCCACCCCCAGCGTCAGCTCCCCTCCACCAGCGTCCCCAGGTTCCCCCCGGGCCATTTTGCCAGGCCCCCTAAGTTTGGGGGCTCTTGCAGGCAGTTTTATTATCTTTGATTTCGGGGGCTCCATGTAGTGGTGCTGTGGGAGGCAGTCCCAGCTCCTAAGAGGGCTCGGGAGACCCTGTGGAGCATGCCGGGAACCAGCCAGGGCCCCGCATGCACGATGCAAAGGTGCACTCTAGTGCTCGAGCTCTCTTCTGGCCAGCGGGGTGATGGTTATTCACTCACTTTGGGTCCTGCACTGGGTGTCACTCAGGGATCATTGCTGGAGAGGCTCCAGGAGCGTGAGTGAATCTGGGAGTTGAATCCTGGTTGACCACGTGCAGGGCAAATACCCTCCTTGTCCGCAGCTCTGGGGAGGTGCAGAAGCCTGCCTGGCTGGATAGAGACAGAAGTGCGAGAGGCGTTTCGCCCCTACCCCCCCCCCCCCCCCCCCCCGGGTGAAGTAGTCTGTTGACCTTCCCACCTTTCCCAGCCATCACTCTCTCTATAGCCTCATTCATATTCTTCTTAGTTGGGTTAGGGTTAGGGTTTATTTAGCTTTTTGAGAGGTTGGGGGGGCGGGGGCAAAGGAAAGCCTGCCAGTGTGTGTTCAAGGGTCATGGGCACTGTTCCCAGCGACCCTCAGCCAACTGGGCCAGATGGCTCAGTAAGGCCCCACGCACAGTGCTGGGAAGAGGTTCAGAGGGTTTTATGATCACTCCTTCACAGACACCCTCGGTTCCTTTTGCTCTTCCCCCTCCACTTTTAACTCCTGGGATTGCACCTAAGATTTCATACGTGCAAAGCAGGTGCTTGCCACTGTGAGCCTAAATTCAGCTTTTAAGACTCTGTAATATGGGCTGGAGTTCAGCGGGGAAGGCATTTGCGTTGCAAGTGGCTGGCCCAGACTCAATCTCTAGCATTCATGTGGTCCCCTGAGCCCTGCCAGGAGTGATCCCGGCGCACAGAGCCAGGAGTAAGCCCTTAGCACAACTAGGAATGGCCCAAAAGTAACCCAAAAAAACTGAAAATTAAAAGTTATAATAGAGATTTTTATTTTTACTATTGGAATCATGATCTGCAAAAACTGGAGCAAGTGAAGCCAGTTAATACGTAAAACTGGCGGTGTATTTAATTTCGTCCATCTTTTTGGCCTGAAGGTTTAATGCACGGTTTTTAAAGGCTGTGTATTTATTTAGATGGTTAATTGTGGCAGAACATAACAGAATGGCCTGTCTTACCCATTTTAAACGTACAGTTCAGCAGCAGTCAATATACTCACCTGGTTGTGCAACCAACTTCCGGAATCGTTTACGTCTTAGAGAACCGAAACTGTGCCCGCTAAGTAACGTCTGCTCCTTGCCCGTCCCTGACTCCCGGAACCTCTGCTTCTGGTTCCCCTCCCCTTGATCTGCGCGGCCCCCCCGTGAGGAGGGGAAGCAGGCGGGAGTCTGGGCTGAGCATGCAGTTTCCTGACCCCGCTCCTCTCTCGTGCGTAGACCTGTGCCTTCTCACCTGTCCAGTGGGCGTTGCTCCAACAGTTCTCCCCCTTTCCTCGGAGTCTTCCTGTTTTCTCCGTTGGATCATTTTCCGTGCATACACGTGTGTTTTTCCTCCCGCACGGGAAAGGCTCGCCCTCTCTCCGTATCGCCCCTGCTGGAGCTCCTGCCCCTGCACCGCCTTCCCAGCCGGAGCGCCTGTGCTCGCTCTCCTCTCTCCTTCTCCTTCCCTCCCTTCCCGCCGGGCTGGCGCTGCTCCTGCCACAGGGGACTCGAACATCGCCAGATTCCACGGCGAAATTTCTGCCCAGTTTTAACCTCAGTCCTTTGACCCAGTGGTTTTTCTTTTCCTTCATGGAAATAATTTTTCACTTGGTGTGGTGGACAGAATAATCACCCCTCTGGCCATAAATGTCCAAGATCTAGTTCACAGGGCCCATGAGGACTTTATCTGACTTGCATAGAGAGATCTTGCAGGTATGACTAAGAATCTGGAAGTGAGGAGATTGTCCCGGACTGTTCGGTGGGCCCAGTGTTGTCATGGGGTTTTCGTAGGATGGTGGGGGGGGGGGGGGGCGAATCAGGAGTGGGAGCAGAAGCTGGAGTGATGCACTTGCATTGTGGAGGGGCCCATGATGATGAGTACTAAGACAGTGCCGCTACATTGGCCGAGGCCACTAAGGTGGTCCTGGTTATTATGAGAGCAGTCAGCTACAACTCCATGTTCTAGCTTTCCTCTTCCCTCTGATAACATCTTTCCCGTCTCCTTTGCTGGTTTACTCACTTTTTATGTTTGATAAAGACTTCTTTGGGGGAGGGGGGAGCGTTTGCACCCCGCCAGTGTTCAGGGCTTCTTCCTGACTGGCTCTGGCGGGTGCCCTCTCGCTCACTGCCTCTCTGGCCTTGCTGGCTGCTTTTAGCTCCACTTGGTGACCTCCAGTATCCTTTAGTGTCGTGCTGACGCTTCCTAGTACACGTCCCTCCTGTTGGCCTCTCCTGGAGGGCGAGACCCCTGACCTCCCGGCCCCACTCATGCTATCGGCAGCATTTTCCATGCCTTCACTTAAAGAAGGTAGGTTTCCAGGGAGCGCCGAGGAAATTTTTTTGGAGTTTTTATTTTTTTCCTTCCCTGAAAAGGAAGAAGTAGGTCAGATAAGTGTGGGAACTTACAAACTTGACCTATTTTTATGGGCCCTATGACTTTTCTATTTTTGTTTGGGGGGCACACCTGGCAGTGCTCAGGACTTACTCCTGACTCTGCTCAGGGTTCACTCCTGGTGGGCAGCGGGCGGATATGTGGGGTGCTGGGGATTTAACCTGGGTCTCCATGCACCTTCCCCACTGTGCTCTCTTTTCCACCCTCGGCCCGATACTTTTATTCTTCAGCACAATTGCTTCCTAGACAATGAAATGTGATCCGCTTATTAGACCTAAAATTCATTTGGTGCGTAATAATGGGTCCTTTTTTAGAAGATAGCATACTTTGTACATAGTAGTGGTATGTATTATCTTAGGGGACTTTGTTTCACTTATTTTTATGTGTGTCTGAGGCATATTTTTTGCGAAGGGTTAAATTCAGGAGCACTCGCATACCTTGATCAGATGCAGATTGTGCTGAGTGGAGAAAGATTCTCACATGCAGGTCCGAGGCTTGCGCAGCTGGAGAGGTGGGGTCTTGGAGGGGGTACTAGTTCGGGGTTCCTGCTCCTCAGCTGACCACCTGAGATATACCTGGCTCTATCTGGTTTTCATGCTTAGTTGCCGCACCCAAGAAATGAGTGCATGCTGTTGTGTTTCAGAGTTGTTTACAAAGGATACTTAACAAGAGTATGAATGAAAACGCATTTTTTAAATTCCTGGGGGTAAGGGGAAAAAGGACTTCATTGTAGAATCTTAAGTCTCTTGTTTATTTGTAGAACGTTTTACAGAAATAGGCATCTAGAAACACTTCACCATAGTCCCTGCCCTGGACTGTTGCGTCATTTCGGGTAATTGAGGAAGGTCCTGCCTGTCAAAGACGAGAGTACGTGTCCAGAGTGCTCTGTCAGCCTGGCCGTTGTCTGCCCACAGGTGTTCTGGTGTATTCTTCGACCCTCCTGGGGGAGAAGCTGTTAGTCTCTCCCAAAAATGTATGCAGTCATTTCTATATGATGTGTATATTGTCTCAGTTGTTTCTGTCTCGTTTGTATTTAGACAAAGAGGCAGCTGAACGTCTTTCAAAAACAGTCGATGAAGCGTGTCTGTTACTCGCAGAGTATAACGGGCGCCTGGCTGCCGAGCTGGAGGACCGGCGCCAGCTGGCGCGGATGCTGGTGGAATACACCCAGAGCCAGAAGGATGTCTTGTCGGAGAAGGAGAAAAAGCTGGAAGTGAGTACACTGCAGGCCAGACCCGGACTGTCCACGCCTGCCTTCCTGTAACCCACACCAGGAGACTGTTATTAGGCCTCAATTAGCACATGTTCTGTCTTTTTAAAAATTCATGAGATGGGAACAGTCCATCATCTATTACAGTAGGTTGACGCTAGTTGAAATTAGAGTCATATTTCTCTATGCCCCAGAAAGAACAAATCAGAATGCAGGAAAGATTGAACTCTTAAAATCGTGTATTAAGGATCTTAGTATTATTTCAGTTTGAACTCACATTTTTTAATGTAGACACTCTTTGGAGTGTCGCCATAAAAAACTGGAGGTCGCCAGAGCAGGAGAGCACCTAGTAGTAATTGGGAAAAGCTAAATCAGACTTTCCTTCTTTGGGTTTCTGATTGCATCCAAGCTAAGGCCAGGAAGGCGCCTGCCCCGAAGCTGTGCCTGCAGTTGGGGCAGTGTGACGAGCCTGTCCAGACCTCTGGGGGAGCCGAGCCGTAGGCGGGCGCATGTGGGGCTGTGGGGGAGCTGCCCCTAACTAGGCGCCTGTGGAAACCGCTGCTGGCCCTGAGTGCCAGCGCCGCTCTCCGCAGTGTCTGCACCCCTCTTAAAACAGACCTGGGCACCAGTCTCAGCCAGTGGTGTGGAAGGGAAGGACAGGTCAGAGGTGGGAAACTAATCACATGTTTAGAGAAGTCCCCTGCCCCGACTCCTGAGCGCGGGGACCACTTTCTCCGGCGCAGAGCAGGGCCACTTTGCATGGCTGCTCCCCTTACGGTCCTGTCAGCTGACTCGTTTCTGTTTTCCTCGCCATGTCCTGAACATGACTGAGGGCGCTCTGGTGGGCAGTGGGAACTTGCTATTTCTAGCCTGCCTGGAGGTGGAAGGTGGGAAACGACTAAGGAAAGAGTTGGGCATCGATGTAGCAGTGGGCACTGGCCAGAGAGTCCTTCGGGGAGCCTCGCGAGCTGTACCAGACGGTCATTTATCTGAAATGCTCATCTTTCACTGAGGAAGCATTTTCCAGCACCGTGCCCCGGGACTAATAAGAGAGTGTAATTAATGATTCTGGTTGTAAGTCACCATGCCATCTGTTGAACTGCCCCTTGGCGACACATTAAGGGCTTTCTCTGATCTGTCAGACATTGATTATCATGAGCAGCTGTTGTTGGGTAGAATGTGGCAAGCTACCATGGAGGACAGCGTCTTTGAGAAGGAGACCAAGGGTGGGGAGTTGGTTAACTCTTTGCGGCCCTTCCTACGGATGTACATGTCTCCCTTTAGTTCTTGCGAGTGATTCTGGACCCTGTAGGACCCTGGTTTGCTGACGGGCATCAGAGGCTGCCCGGAGGTTTGGATCTGCTCTGTGGCGTTCTAGCTCACCTTCCTCTCTCTCTGGGCCACAGAATCATTTTGCTTAAGAACCAGAACGGGAAGAGCCCACCACTGGGATGTAACGGTTCTGAACAGAGGTAACCCAGACTTGAGCCAAACTATTAATTGGGAAAATGGAGTTAAATTTACTGCGTTTAAAAAAACTGAATACAGCATAAGGTTTGTTGAGAGATGACTGGTTCTTTGTTCATGTTTGCTAAAAATTGAACCAGTCCCTTCTAAAAATCCTTGTCTTCCACTTTCCTGTGTAGATTTGTCTCCGAATCTTATGGTGATGGTAAGACTTACTGAGTGTGTGTGCCACTCAAGAGATAACTTATCACTATGAATTCTTCCAAGTCCTCCAACGTCGCTTACTGCCGTGTGTGTACCCGTCTTTCAGACGTTCATTTCCCCACATTCTCCTCCCCACCACCCTCCTGAAAGGGACCTGGCAGCCCCAGGTTCGATTCAGCCTTTTGGGCTGTTGGTGGTTCAGTGCAGGGGGTCAAGGGTGTGATGCTACTCAAGTTATTGCAGTGCCAGGGATACCCCGGCCATCTTGGCAGTATCGGGGACTCCCAGTCTTGTACTCAGCAATGCTTGGGGGACTGTGTGGTGCCAGGAATCGAACCCAGACTCGACACACGCTTATCATGCGCCCTAATCACTGTACTGCCTCCTGGACCAGTGTTCATTTTTTTTTTTTTTTGCTTTATTTTGTGGGGGGGGGGGGTCCACACCTGGAGATGCACAGGGGTTACTCCTGGCTCTGCACTCAGGATTTACTCCTGGAAGTGCTCAGGGGACCATATGGGATGCTGGGAATCGAACCCGGGTCGGCCGCGTGCAAGGCAAGCGCCCTACCCGCTGTGCTATCTCTCCATCCGCACCGGTGTTCATGTTTTACACTCCCAGTCCTTCTTAAACTGCCAGGCCTAGGCCAGCGCCGGTTCAGGTGGTAGGACACACAGCCGGCCCAGGTTCAGGCCCTCGCACCACAGGTTGCTCCCGAGTCTGCCAGGAGTGGTCCTTGAGTGCAGAGCCAGCAGTAAGCCCTGAGCACAGCCAGGTGTGGCCCCAAACACAAAATAAATAAATAAGCAAAATTATAAGACCAGAATGCTAATGAAATCTGTTTTTATTTTTGAATGCAATGAAAATCAACAATTCTTTTTTAACTTTTTAGTTAAAATTCTTACAATTGTGGAAATGTAATTATTTAAATCTAATCCCCCCCCCACAAAGTTAGTTTCTTAATGAATAATATTTATTTTTTTGTTTGTTTTTTTGCTTTTGGGGTCACACCTGGCAGTGCTCAGGGGTTAACTCCTGGCTTTGCACTCAGGAATTACTCCTGGTGGTGCTCAGGGGACCATATGGGATGCTGGGATTCGAACCCGGGTCGGCCGCATGCAAGGCAAATGCCCTACCAACTCGCTGTGCTATCACTCCAGCCCCCAAATAATTTATTTTTTTTTAATTAAATTGTTCTTGAAGATCTCATGGGTGGATGGGTAGGGCATGACTTTTCTTTCCCTTTTTTTTTTCTTTTTGGGTCACACCCGGCGATGCTCAGGAATTACTCCTGGCGCATGCACTCAGGAATTGCTCCTGGCGGTGCTCAGGGGACCATATGGGGTGCTGGGAATCAAACCTGTGTCGGTCATGTTGGCTGCGTGCAAGGCAAACGCCCTACCCACTGTGCTATCGCTCCAGCCCCGACTTTTCTTTCCCTTTCACTTCAGAATTTTATGTTGGATTTCCGAGTGGCTCTTGACCTTTGGAATAAAAGAGTCAAGATTCAGAACCTAGAGAATGCTAGGGGTGTGGGGGGCAGAGGAAGGAGTTGGAGCTGTGCGCACAGGAAAAAGAGATGCAGCGTGTCGCCTTGAGGAAGCCCTATTCTGGCCCAGCAGCATGGGTGGACAGAAGCCAGCCCGGTGATTGTGTGCAGTGGAGGTAGAGGAGACCGAGGGCTGTGCTTAGTGAGGCCTAGAGTTAGACCCATGCCTCCTTGCAGGAAGTACTGCCTCTTTCATAAAAGGACATTCAAACGGAAGAGAAGAAACACATTTCTGAATGGAGAACAGACAGGTGGAGAGAAACAGGCCAAGAGGTGCATGTGGGACAGGCCGAGCACAGGGGGAGTGAGGGAGAGTCGGGCTCCAGCCACTGGCGGGGTTGCTGCTGTGTCCGTCCATCACGAGGCTTGGGGAACCCAGACAGAGCTCTGTCCAGTAGGGCGGGGGGGGGGGTGGTCAGCATGGCACAGGAGAAATGCCCTCAGAATTGGGGGTGGCCTTAACCAGCTGTGTCCATGGTCCCACTATTCTGAATAGACCAGTGGGAAAATGTTAATATTTAGGTTTCTCAGAAGTTTCTAAATGGGTTACTCCTGGTTCTGTATTCAGAGAATTCGTCCTGACCATGCTCAGGGGGACCATGTGGAATGCTGGGGATCGAACTCAGGTGACTGCATGCCAGGCAAACTCCCTACCCGCAGTGCTCATCTCTCCACCCCCTGCTTTTTTCATTGTAACAGTCTCCTTTATTTTATTTTTAATCTCAGTCACTGTGATTCAGTTTCACAGTAGTGTCGGTAGTGGGTCTCCGTGGGTATAGCGCCCAGCACCACGAGCGCTGCCCCCACCAGAGCTACACACACATTGATTTTGAGGGGGTGCTGGTTTGATTGGAGCTGCTTCAAATCCGTTACTAATGTTTTTCGTCATGAACAGGAGAAAACCTCGAAATGAAGGAAAGTTACATAGAAAGAAGCACAGACGCACGGGAGGGCAGGGGAGAGAATGTGGAGGTCGGAGAATAGACTTTTTAAACACGGTGTGGACCAGAGGTACCAGAACAGTGTCCGCCCTTTCGTTCTTGGAAGAACGGGATTGCCTGTTTTCTCTCTGAATGAGGGCAGGTGACTGCGCAGCACTCCCTGCCTTAGTCAGAGCGGGCTGGACAGTCCGGGCTGGGGGCAGCCTGCTGGTGCAAGTATTGAAGGAAAAGCAAAGGAGGCTACCTGAAGCTTCACTTCCTCAACTCTGTTCATCTTGGGGGGTGTGGCGGCGACACACAAGTAAGAGGAGCTAGTCCTTTGCTTGGACACCCACGGATCAGGGGCTGCCTCATAGGAGAAGAGCTCAAGGGACATGGGTGCCTTGACTCGGTTTTGATTCTTCAATGTATGTACTTCAGTGGTGTTTAGTATGCCCACGGTATCGTGCAGTCACTCTTAGATTAGATTCTGAAAGTTCTGTATTGACCAGCCTTGTCCCCATTAGCTAGTCATTCCCTCTGACCCCTCCCGGCCCGCTGCCCGGGCCTCCATCGTAAGCCATGTGCTTTCATCTCTGCGTTTGTCTAGGTTAGACACTTCATCGGGTGATGTCTGGCTTCCTTTCGTTGAGCTCGGTTTGATTGGCGAGTCTGCATTGGATTGTTAGCACTCTGTTCCCTGTTACCCTTTTATGGCTGCGTTGCCTTTGGCTGGACATACAGCAGTTTGTGCTTTCATTCTGCATCACATCATTCCATCTTTCAGTCACTATGAGTGATGTGGCGGTGAATGTTGGTGTTTGTGTGGACTTGCTGTTTTTTCTGTTGGCTATATGTAAACT